AGTTCAGTCCGAGGCTTAACCCTCTATCAGCTTCCCACAGCGGGCATTATTCATAAGAGCCTCAAACCGGAAACAACACAAATACTCATCAACTGATGAATGGGTAAACAAAAGGTGGTATACCCATACACTAGAATATAGCATACATAAAACTTTAAAATGTTACGCTAAGTGAAAGAAGCGAGTCACAAAAGACCAGATATTATCACTGCATTTATGTGAAATGTCCCCCCGCCCATAGGCATATCCATACAGAAAGCAGATTAGTGACTGCCTGGGGCTAGGGCGAGAGGACAGGGAGGGGGCACTGGGAAAGGGAGGCGACTGTTTAATGGGTATGAGTTTAAAGTCCTACAATTGGCTCCTCTCTGGGGGGGGCGTGGCTAGGCCCTGGGGGCGTGGCTGGACTCCTGGGCGGGACACAGGCCCATGCTGTAGAGGCATTACACCTGGAGGCATGGAGGAGCGTGCTTGCCTCTGTGGTGCGGGCTCTTCACGGGGATGCCAGAAACGCCAGCGCCCAGCTGCGACGGCAGCAGCCGACGGCAAGCCGGTCCCGGCTCCCGGAGAAAAGCAAGTCGAGGCGGACGCATATATTTGCTCATGCCTTGGTATTATCGTGTAACTCATGAGAGTTTTCACAGGAAGAGCCAAGTCATAGTCATTGATATTAACTTTGCATTACTAAAAAAATACTATTAGAAAATATGTTCTTTTGGAAGGATATATAAACCAATAAAAATATAGAAGTTCCACTTCTAGGTACATACCCAAAAGAAATGGAAACATGTTCACACAAAAAACTTGTACACAATGTTCATAGCAGCGTTATTCGTAAGAGCCTCAAACCGGAAACAACCCAAATACTCATCAACTGATGAATGGGTAAACAAAATGTGGTATACCCATACACTAGAATATAGCATACATAAAACTTTAAAATGTTACGCTAAGTGAAAGAAGCGAGTCACAAAAGACCAGATATTATCACTGCATTTATGTGAAATGTCCCCCCGCCCATAGGCATATCCATACAGAAAGCAGATTAGTGACTGCCTGGGGCTAGGGCGAGAGGACAGGGAGGGGGCACTGGGAAAGGGAGGCGACTGTTTAATGGGTATGAGTTTAAAGTCCTACAATTGGCTCCTCTCTGGGGGGGGCGTGGCTAGGCCCTGGGGGCGTGGCTGGACTCCTGGGCGGAAATAGGAAATATTGAAATGCAGCATCAGCTGGCAAAAATTATGGAAAAGACAGGATTCCTTTCATCTCTATTTTAGTTGGAACCTATTATTATTATTTTACATTTAAAGAGCCTGTTTTCCCTCCTACAGATGTTGTGTGCTGCATAACAATGCTTGGAGGAACCCAGAAACAACATTATGCAACCTCATTAGCACATATATTAGCCAACAGAAAGAGATTACTTTATTGTTTCACTTAAAGACCACCATTCCAGTGCCAATGGGTTGGTATATGTTGACAGGGCAGAGGTACAGTGTCAAACAGTATAACATTCAGATGAGCCTGGAAACCCTCTTTAGAGAGGGCATGCACGCATTTTATCCTAACACGTAGTCATCAAGATATGTTTTTTATTATTATAGCTATTGTTTTAACTATATGCGAAGCTGTTCCACCCATACAGACACATTTTGGGATTGTGGCAGCAAGATAATAGCTATAGAACACTGCTGAATGTCGTGGCGGACGGCTTATGCATTACTGGTTGGACATGCAGGCCTTCCCTTAACACCCATGTGGATGGCCCACTGCAATTCCAGCCCTCATTCAGAATTCGCCTGACGGAGAGGAAATCAGCCACGCTGGAGTGCCTGGAAGGCCGCCACCGCAGGCCCCACAGCTGCGACATGCAGATTCGGAAGGACAGGTTCAGCATCCAGTGCAGCAAGACAGACCACCGAACGGATTCACCCACGCGGCTTAGGGGAGAAGGGGGGCTGGTGCTGGTGCAGGAGGACAGACAGGTGTATGACTGGCTGACCTACCGCCGCCTCTACCTCCCGCCACGCCACCCGGATGACCTCATCAGGCCAGGCCTCTTCCAAGGCAAATACCAGAGCTTCAGACTAAAGAAGATTGCCATGCTCAGCTTCCATGGGAAGTATGCCAGGGTCACGAAGATCATGGGAGAGTCCATCGTGATGTTAGAGATCCACCTCCAGCGCCGCATCCAGCTGCGAGATGGCGAGATCTTCCGCAACTTCAACGAGCTCTCCCGCGTGGTCCAGGAGATTGACGAGCAGGTGACCCGGGAGCAGCAGCAGCAGCAAGAAAACAGGACTGAGGAAAGCGAGGGCCATGGCTGGCAGAGCCCTGCCCAGCCCAGCGTCGGGGAGTCCGGGGCTGCAGCTTCGGAGGAGCAGCCTGTCCCGTTTGTTCTGCCTGCGAACGTGCTCTCAATAGAACAGAACTACCCCCGAACCTGCAGGATGTGTTTCTATGGCGTGGACACTGTGTCTGTTACCAGACATGGCTTCGCCTCCACCTGGCGCCTCCCTGGAGTCTTCATCCTGTTCGATGAGAACCACTTCGGGTTCATCTGCCTGGAGCTGAAATACTTCATCCTGTTCGGCAGAGTCCAGGACACCTTCCAGAATGTGGAGGCACCATCCCCGCAGGCCTTCCTGGAGATGCTCAAGAACATTCAGTTCCGTCCGGGAGGAGCAGCTGGCATGCACTTTGAAGATTTGACCTTCTGACCAGGTTACCCACCTTTGTTTGTTTATTTTTTGTCCCCTACTGGGGATGTGCCCGCAACCAAGTACATGCCCTTGACCGGAATCAAACCTGGGACCCTTCAGTCCGCAGGCCGAGGCTCTATCCATCCAGCCAAACCGGCTAGGGCTTTGTTTGTTTTTTTAATCCTCACCCAGGATATTTTCCCATTGATGTTTAGAGAGAGTGGGGGAGAGAGGGAAAGACAGAAATAATCGATGTGAGAGAAACACATCAGTTAGTTGCCTCCTGCCCAAGCTCAGACCGCGGCCAGGCTGGGCAGGAGCCAGCAATTGAGGTAGAAATAAACCTTAGACCAGTGGTTCTCAACCTTCCTAATGCCGCGACTCTTTAATACAGTTCCTCATGTTGTGGCGACCTCCAATTTCATTGTTACCAATTGAACATAATTAAAGCATAGTGATTAATCACAAAAACAGTGTGTAATTATGTGTTTTCCGATGGTCTCAGGCGACCCCTGTGAAAGGGTCGTTCGACCCACAGGTTGAGAACCGCTGCCTTAGACCTTTCCATCCGCAGGTTAAGGCTCTATCCACTAAGCCAAACCAGCTAGGGCTGAGCATGTCTTTTTAAAAAGAAAGAAAGAAAAAGGAAAGATCCTAAAATTAGATAGTGGTAATTGTTAGATTGTACAACTCTGAATATAATAAAAACCATTGAATTGTAAAATAAATAAATAAATAAAAAGAAGAAGAAAAAAGCTACTACAAGTCACTTCTACTGGTCTACAAACTTCTCATCCTACATACTTATATTGGAATTAATTATCTTTATAATCAATATATCTTAACATTCCAAATACAAAGCATATAGAGAGTGTACAATGAAGAGAAAATCTTGTAGTGTAGGAGTGAAGGAGAGTCAATAGTATTTACTTTTGCCTCTCAGGTGTCTGAAGTTCAAATTACGCAATGTTAACATGCTAGGATAAATTAATAATTTCGTATGTGTTTTTATTCTATCAGATAATTCAGATTTAGATTTATGACTGACCAAATGTAAAGACCACTTACAAAACTCTCAAAATTATATTTGGGCTTGTACAGAAATAATGTAATACCTTCCTAGGAAAATATAGCCCTCTTTCTACTGCCATTAAATAAGCAATATGGAAAATACTTCATAAGTAAGAAACAATTCATGGGGTGTATTAAAATATTCCTTTTCATACAGACAAATTCAAGTACATAAGAGACTTGAGTGCGGGGTCCCTAGGACACTGAGATAAACATAGAAGTCCTGCTCCATTTCTAGAACTGTGTCATTTAGTTCCACCAAGACTGGCAGAGTCCACATACTTTCTGAGTCAAAAATTAAGAGTATTTCATATTTACATATTTGTGAGAATTCCAGTATCCAATTGGTCAGCCAGCAAATAAATCTTTAGAAGCAGAACCACTGGATTGGTCAAAGTTCCTGACATTTTTAGAAATAGCCATGACAGATGCAGGAGTTCACAGTTGCTATGGGCTCCAAATATTATAATAAAAATAAAGAAATAAGCATATATATTGACCACTGAGGAGAGCAAAAGACTCCAGATTATATTCACCGAGTTCCTCCTTCTGACAAAGTTAGAAAACCAGGTGTGGTATTTGAATTCCAATTAAAACTAAATCTACACAGAGAATTCAACCACTATGAGCAAGTAATTATGATTAATCATACCAAATAAAGTTTTATAAGACTACGTTAAACCTGAATCATCTGAATAACTACCTTAACTGACCATTTCATATTTCTTACACAGCTCCTTAAATTTTGAAATCATATGATTGTATATAACTTATATGTTTATTAGGACCCATAAATGTAGGTGATGAGTTATTTTTAACTCTTCTGAATAGTTGGAACACATGGGATATGAATTAACAAGTTAATAAGTTAGAATTTGAGCAAACTGAAAAGATTTCAAGATATTAAATGAATTTCCATATGGTCATTTTAAGGCCAGAAAATATTGAAGAAAAGCAATCAGTATTCATCAAGATACACAATATTCTTTAGACTGAGATATAACTGTTTGAGTTTTACTATTTTAACACAAAAGAAAGCAACTAGTGCTCCTTAGGCTTCCATGAAAACAATCAAGCTGCCACAATAGATAACCACGCAGTTCAGCATTGAGGACTCACAAGGTCCTAGGCAGATCATACTTGACCCGGTGCACCCTAGAGATGTTTCCCCTAATAGCTTCCCAGAGCACATCTCTTTCAAAGGAAAGCTTTGAAAGGAGGGGGCGGGGGGAAGGAAGGCTGGATTTAGATGCTGTTTCTCATATTAACAGATGAACAGCCACACCCCACATGTATGAATTAATTCTCTCTTGACATGGTTTAGTCACAGAAATCCCACAGATGACTGCCAGGATGGACCATTATTATGCGCTAAAGAAAACAGTGTACTAAGGATGCCTTGTACTAAGCATTAATATTACACAGAATCCAAATTTCAAAAGAGATGAACTGACTCCATGAGACCAAGTTTACATCAGAACATATGGATAAACGCTGCTACCAATGGCCCTATAAATCAGCTAATTGCTTCCAGAGAAGGCTTTATCTTAGTTTAACACTAAATGTATTTATTTGTATATGTATACCTATCCTTCCCTTAAAAAAATTTTTTTTTGAGATGACAAGTTTTCAATTAAAACAAATCTAATCTGATCAAGCTCTACTTTTACAGTATGGTTTCTCCAGTAAATTCCAATTTTCGTAAATTATAATTCAACCAATCATCACAAAATATGTGCTAGGCACTGAGAAGTAGTCTTGCCCTAAAGAAGTTTCCCACCTCCATGGAGAGATAAGTCAGAAATTGCCATGGAAACTAGAAATTATAACATAACAAGTCATACAGTGCAGCCAGAAGTAGAGAGACAAAGAAAAAGATTTAGGCCACCAGGGAGTTGGGGGTTAAAAGAGTTCAACAAGGGGAAACATGTCTGAACATCTTGGAGAACCCGCTGAAATTTGACAAGTAGAAATGACCAACCAGAGGGGGTGGGGGCAAGAGGCACATGGCCAGCTAGAGCAAATAGCCCGTGCACACCCACCGAGGCATGAAACAGCACAGCATGCTCAACAAACAGTTGTTGAACTGGCATTGTATTTACACATAGAACAGTTGTGTTAATATATTCTATAATTTCCTTATAAATAAACTGCATGAAAGCCACATTGCTGCTCTTCCCCATCTTAAAGGGGTGGGTGTGGTGGAAATCCCATGAATTTTCTTAGAAATTTTGCAAGATCATCCAAAACACATTCTAGTGGAAAGTTACAAACACAATGACAGCAGACATAAATTCAGAAATGACTTACAGTTGAACTTAAATGAAGAGGAAGCCCCCTCCAATTTATATCTTTTCCATCACCCTTGGATTTCAGGGTTAGCATTTTATTCAATAGTTTATTCAGCAGCACCAGGAGGTAGAAGTTTTTCCTGCATGCACAGTGCAGAGGTCAGAACTTTGGATGGACCTGAGAGTTAATCTTGTCTTTGTTTCTCAGGAATTGTGTGACCCTGGGTAGATGTTTTTATCTTCTCAACAGGAGTTATATTAACACATGCCTCAAATGGATAGTCTGACAATTAAATGAAGTTCTATCTAAAGATCTTTGCAGAGAGCCTGGTATGCAGTAAGAGCTCAATAAATAATTTTAAAATAAGAACAAAATAAGGCAATACATTGGTCTGTAATGCAAGCAAAACTAGGAATTTATGCAATTATCCAAATAATTGAGAACGAATCTTCATTCTTGAGACATAACCAGCTAGTTTAGATATAAAAATGATGTGGGTTTCAGATGAAAATGGTTCGGGATTTGATTTTCCTAACAGACAATTCTTTTTCCTTTTAGCCCATAGGGCCAACCTCAACTTCTGATCTCACTAAAAACTGCCTAAACTTCTTGGACGTTTGTTGTCTCATTTAACTCTGTTGTTAAAAGATACTTATATTGTTTCCTATAAATAGATGTCCAAAAGAAAAGTACCTACACACCAAAGGACACGGTATTGGGATATTTGAGAAGCCGGAAGCTCGTAAACAGCCTGGCACACTTACAGTAGCTGGTGGAGGCCCACACACGGGAGCAGTTCCCATGGGCTCTGTGATATCTTGGCACTGTCCCCATTTTCTGGCTCATCAGTTGATGGTACAGCACACTGTTTTTCAACACTGGCTGCATGTAAAAACCACCTGGGGCCCCTTTTAAATTCCCTTGTGTCTTCTGGTTGACTTGGTCTAGGCAGCAGCCTTGGTATCTGTATTTTTAAATTCCCCGTGTGATTTAAATGTGCATCCAGTATTGAAAACTACTAGTGTGTTGTCAAACTGCAGCGGGAAGGCCGGGGAAGGTTGGGGGGTAGGAGGAGGGGGGTAAGAGATCAACCAAAGGACTTGTATGCATGCATATAAGCATAACCAATGGACATAAGACACTGGGAGGTAGGGGAGGCCAGGGGATTGTCAAGGGCGGGGGGGGGGGGGAAGGACACATATGTAATACCCCTTGTAATACTTTAAGCAATAAAAAAAAATTAAAAATTAAAAAAAATATCTGGGGAATAAAAAGAAAGAAAAAGAAAACTACTAGTGTGGCATAATGTCCACTTCTAATTTGGAAAACAAGAGAGGGAATAAAAGAAAGTACTTGTTATAAAATACTTAAAGATGTTCGTGTGTTTTTTTAAATAAATTACAAGTGGGAAATAATTTGCCATTAAATGCCTTTTGTTAAATTTAATTCAATTAAACTATAATTTTTACTGAACGCTTATTATGTACACTATACATTGTGCTAATAACTGTCAGGAATACTTTTAAAAGTCAATTCCCTTTTTGGCAGAGGGAAAAATCTGATTAGGAAGACATTTACACACAAAAGCATGATTAGCGATAACTATAACACAGTAATAGAACAACTGAATAGTCTGGTTCTAAAGCTCTGAGAAG